TAAAACATGTATGGGCAATACTGTCTAATTATATTTCCATGTTTTAGAATTTAATTTTCAATTAGACACAAATTGGGTAAAACGCATGCTAATATAATCAAAAAGCTTTAAAGTCTGCACCGAAATAGCTAGGATTCTAGGGGATACGTTCTTTAAAATATTTTGTTGCATACTTTTAAACACCTGCAAAAAATAATATTGTGGGATCCCCTTTATTTGGGAGACAATAACAAGATTTTACAATTGTAACCACATTTTGATATATGAAAAAAATATATATATATATATTTTAAGCTCAGAAGTAAACTTAATTCACTAAATTATTCATTGCATACTTTTATACACCTAAAATTACATTTAAAAGGTATTTCAAGACCTTTGTGACTTCTGCAGAACCTCCATTTGTTAATATTTATTTGATACCTCTAAAAAAAATAAATAAAACCACCATAACTTAAAATAACAAACCAATATTGCGTTTCAATCTAAATATTTTTAAATCAGATAGCATTTAATGATTAAAGATTCTTGTATTTTATAAATTTGACACTATTTTGATAACAGTTTGGTCTAGCCGCAAACCATTAAACTCCTTGAGATATAAAAATGCGACTGTCAGGTAGTTAAACCGAATTTTATGTCAACTTTAAGCGGGCTATAAACACTTAAATTCTTTATGACCTCCCAAAATGCAAGGCGGTTTTTCGCATGCAGCCCATTATTTGATTTCACTAATTGCCCAGTCCCAAAAACTCGCAGCTAATGTGTAATTTCCTCTGCCCCAGTTTGATTGTTTTTCCCGGCCATTATGCATTTATTATTCATTATGAAGCTGGCACCTCGCAGCTATTTGACAATTTGGCATGCTATTCATAAACTGGCGTCCCTGTCATCGCGTTTTATTGGCGAATCAAAAGCCACCGCAAATGGCAAACATACATGCATGTCACCTCTATGGAATTTTCGCGCTTTTCCCCCTGCACACCCCAACTGGGAAAACCCACCCATTTTCCCTACTTTCCAGAAGCTCTGGTTTTGGCTTGCGGTCAGCTGTTGGTCAGCAAACAAGCGTGAAATTGCACAAAAGCCGTGACGGACTCTAAGCCACCGGGAAAAAGGGAACCTACAAAAAAAAGGCCTGAAAAAACTGGTTGGAAGCCGCACAAACAGAGGGACAAAAGGCAATCAGACTTGCGGCCTACGAATGTGCTCCGGTTTTCCTTTTTACTGCGGAGCATCCGCATCCCACTCTCGTTTTTCCGCGCTTTTCCTTTTTTATTGCAGGTTTTCCGCGCGCCTGCAGCCGCAAAGTATGCAATGAATTTTATGTCGCATGCAATATAGTAGGGAAATGGGAGTCTGATGAAAGAATTAATTTAATGTGAGGGGTTACTACATACAGAGTGGATAATAACCATTTTCTAATTTGATGTAGGAATTTTTGCATTTATTTAAGGTGCCTGAAAGTTTGCTTAAAAATATTTATCATCAAAAAGGTCGATAAGAATGTGTTGGAAACCAAATACAATATTTTACTACATTCAAAATGAATATAAAAATCCTCTTTAAAAAGCTTAAAAGTATACCTAAATTTATTTTAAATCATTTTTAAAATGTTGAAAATCGTAAAGTTCTTTATGTTTTATAATCTTTTACAATCACAGAATCTATAGAGGTTCGAAGTAAGTTTTTTGTGATATAAGGAACATATTCTGCAAAGCCTTCTTTTTGAACAGGTTTCTGTGCCACCTATATTTGCTTTTCGGAGAATATTTGGTTAAAAGAAATTTCTGTGTAAATGAATACCACAGAATGCTTGTCTGAAAGCGAAAACTCTTTATCGATATTTTACTGTTTTTATTTATTCGCCATTAAAAAACCTTTCCCTTTTACCAAATCGCTGGCAATTAATCCCGCATTGATGATGTTTGATTTGGGTCCAATGCCAGCATCTAGATGGAGCTTAGATGAAGTTCATTTGCGAAAAAAGGGGAATTTTTATGGGCTGCTAATTAAATGCATACAATTAGCTTACACACGCTAATGATTCAATTATCTTTATTACTTCCACGACATGCACTCTGCGCTGCAATCACGCAATGCTAAATATGTGGAGCAGGGAGCTCTGCTTTTAATTAAAACCGATTCGAATCGATGGCCAGTCGCCGGGCACGTTTTAAATTTAACGCCCAAGTCCTTGGAGTCCTTGGAATACGGAAAAAGCGAGCTCAGAGCTCAGTGCTCGGGGCACTTCATTAAAGGGTGTAAAGTTGGGAAATTTATTTTGCATTTGCCGTGCATCGAACGTGCTGAGGCCAGTTGGCCAAATGGATTTTGAAGGGCTGCCGATGGCAGTTGATGGAATGAAAAGGGGGTTTTTCGGGCGGGTTTGTTTATGGCTGCAGTTGCGCCACTAAAATGGATTTAAGAGATGCGCATCGCCAGAAAAAAATGGGTCAATCAAGCTGGGAAAACTGTTAAGGGATCAAAGGAATGCGATCTCGGGGAGTTAAGGCTCAAAGTGCCATAAAGTACACAATTTTGTAGCATACAATTTAAGTTTAAGCTGATTAAAGAGCTTTACTTCATTGATTTTATCCTTTGAACAAAAAACCTACCACTAAAAATTAAGAAAATTGTCCTGTTTTCAAAATAAAATATTCATAGCATACTTTCAGACACTTCTGCAAGCGACTTCGTTGTAGTGCAATTTTGAGGATAAATCGCCTAGGAAGATCAAAATCGTTTTCCATCCTAACAATTCCCAAGCCCCAGATAACACAGAAAATAATCTAAAAATCATAATAGGAACCAATACAACAAAGTTCGAATAAGCGGTGGCTGTAATCCATCAATCAATTCGAAATGAAAGTGGAATTCCATTTCCCAACACAATAATGCCCTGCTTAAAGAAATTACTTTCACGCTTTGCTCCAACTGACAATCAACATTTTCGAGTTCAATCAATGCATCCGCTTATTTAGCTGCCACTTCCAAGTCGGGGCCACTTGCTATTTGCCACGCCCCCAATGCCCCCGAACGCCCACGCCTCCGGTTCCCAGTTGGAATTTATTTCATTCCTATTTCATGCAATTTTTATGCATTTTTCTATTTATAAAATTGCTGGCAGCGCAGAGCCCCGGAGTGCACACACAAAATAATAAAAATGCCAAGGAAGACGTGCAAAAGAAAAATAAGGGAAAATGAACATAAAATGCAAGCGGCGTCATTTCGCAGTTCCTTGCAAGGCTCTCACTCGTATTTTCCTGTTTTTCTCCGCCGCTTTTCCATGCACATGGAAAAAAGTAGATTGGAAATCATTTTCTAAGGTATCTGAAAGTATGCTACGATATTTTCTAAACCGGAGTCACTCTAAACATAATAATCCTTTATAGTACATTGAACTAAAATAATAGAGCTTAAAAGTATGCAATGATTTTTTAATTCCTCGACATGATATCTTTACAGTGTTGTAAAGTCACTAGATTTTCAAATACTTGTCTTAAAAATATTTTTTTATTATTGGAATGTCATTTTTCCCACTGTGTGTTCTTTCCGTGGGTTTTATTTTTTCCCCTGTAGTGTGAAAATGCAGCGTGAGAAAACGAACCGAAACGAAGCTGGAAAATGGTTGGGCGGTGGGGCGTGTAAGTGTTGGTAAACGTGGTGCAAAATGCCGTTACTGCCATCCTGCATTTTCCATTTTCCCCGAAGCTGTTGTTGTTACTATTGTGGTGTTGTTGTATTTGGGTCACCAATGCAGTTGTAGCTTTTCCCCCTCAGTTTCCCCTGTTTTTCTTTGCTGTTGTTGCTTGTTTAACAAGTTCGAGTGCATCGCATTTGTGAAAATTTAAAAAGGCATCTAAAAGTTCCCCCTGAATGTGTGTGCTGTGCCACAAAAATGGGTGGAAAAAACACACACATACAAAAGCAAAACAGGAGCGAACTTTTTGAGGCTCTGCTGCTGACACCAAAATGCACAAAAGCAACAGCGAAACGAACTAAGAAGTCCTTAGAGGGTTAAGGATATCAGTTACCAAAGTATCCTGGAATGTGTTACTTTAAGTTTTGTTATAAAAGCCATAAGCCTTTTAAGGGAGTTCAAATTTGAATTTAACAAATGTATGAGATATCAAGAATATGGAAGTCATTCTTATTTAAAGTAAATGTTTTTGCGGGGATTTTAAAAATTTTTTAGGACATTTCTTTTAGGTAGTCTTCTTTAAAAAATGTTGTACGGCTTAATATATAAAATCTGAAATCACTTCAAGGTTCCAAAAATATTTCCCAAGCCATTACACCCTTCAATCGCAGTGATACCTCTTGAAAAAAGTTTTCTTAACAATGTGTAAAAGGGTTTTTTGGGGCAAGGGGCGAAGGAAGTGAACTTTTGCAGTGGCAGGAGTCGAGTGAAAACAAAACGAACAGCAAACATATTTGACATTTGCATACGAAAAGTGTCAAAAGAAGCAAGAAGCTACACATACAAACTAACCCATACAAACACACTAGCAACCAACCGCATAAAAAGAAATACACCGAAAAAAACGTCCTGTTTTTTGGTGGCATATCATAGAAAAAATATATACTTAACAAATACATTTAATTGTTTAAGAAAATAATACTAAAATCCTTGTTATTAGTATAGTTTTTAGCTAATTTATAGGTTTGAAAAAATATTGGCCTAAGAAACTTTTAAGATTTATGTTATGGATTATGAACTTGTATCAAAACCTAATTTTCTTTAGTTGGGAATTATAAGAAAAAAAGTATATGGAAGAAATTGGAAATGAAAATAGTTTTAATATAAGGTATTCTTATAAGGATTATGTTGGTACAAGATTTTTAAAGTAAGTTAAAGGAACTTATAAGTATAATTTTAGTTTATAAAGTATTTTGTAGACACAATAATTTTCTGGCAGTGTAATCCTGCTCGTTGATGCCACTTCCGTGACTCTTTCTTATCTGTGTCCTTTCTCCTCTCTTTTCTTCCTGCCCAGGAACGCTACAAGGCCGACATTAGCCTGGCCATCCAATTGCTGCAGTGCAAGCCGGATAGTTTTGTGTCCCAAAAAGTGTCATCGGTGGGTATCCAAAGTGTAATATACATAGTAAAACCCCAAAACCCCCCCATTTGGAAAAAGCACCCCCTAATGATGTTTTTCTATGCACAGCTACCCATTGATATTCAATCGAAGGTGTCGGCGTACATGAGATTGGAAACGAACTCCCATTCCGATTCCGAGTGCAGCAATAGCGGAGTGGGCGTGGCCACCACAGCTTCCTATAAAGTGCTTCCGGCCTCCGATTCGCCGCCCCCCTCCGCCTGCCCCTTCCCGCCGACGGCCATGGTTTACTCGATGAGGGGAATCGGTAGGTGTTAGTAGACCATGTTGAACCCTATGATTTTTTCCCATTTCCGCCTGATTTTGTCATTTTTTTGATTTATTGATTTACGTTTTCTAGGCACCGGATTGAATCACGAAGACTGCGTTAAGTTCACATTATATTTTCAAAACCTTAATTTAATTTAAAAAAAATTAAAATATGTCCTTATAAACTTTATTTGGTATATATTGTAAGAGTTGTTCATTATTTTTCCCACCAAAATAATTTTCTTATCTGATAGAAAGTTTGATTTATTAAAAAAATAATCTCTTAACGTAAATCACCTTTAATAACGTAATTACTTTTCCAATAAAATATTTGTTTAAATATTTTTGCAAAATGTTTACTACTTTACTGAGCACTCTGATTTTATTTGTTTGATTGGCATTTTGCAGGAGACTGCGAAAACTTTTGCAATTTGATTTCCGCCTCATAATTGCATATATTCCACATCATTGTGCTCTGTATTGCCATTTATTCCTCTTCGGTTATTGTTCATTTGCATTAATTGCCTGCATTTCAGTTTAACTTGTATTTATTATTACAATTTTTTCGCTCCATTGTTTGCAGTTTTTCTTGCCATAATTGCAATTTCAAACTACGGCTGAAAATAACTTTTGGTAGCATTTTTTCGGTTCAGTCTCAAAAATATTTACATGTTTGTGTTGTAAACATATTGTTGGCCAGAATGCTGCAGAGGCATGATTGTGGCCAAAAACTTTTTGTTGATCAATTTGGTCAATTTTTGTTAGTTTTAATTCATGCATATTTGATGAGGCAACATTTTTTCCTCAAAATGCCTTTATTGCCGAAATTTTGATGCGCACAAAGGCATAGTTTTGTTGAACTAAACTAGTTTTTATTGGGCCTAATATATAGGTACATAATTTTCTTGCAAATAGATTTTCTCTTGTTCAGATTTTATTTTTTTCTTCAGCATAGAAATGAATAAGAAATTAAATCGAAGCTAATAGTATTACATAAAATTCAAAACAACATAATTAAACTATCATTTTAAAGTGAAGCTAAATATTTCTAATTTATCTTTTTGTCTGCCAGAATAATAAAAAAAGTGACTTTAATAAGTAAATAAATAATTTCATATTGCAATTTTAAGCTTATTTTTTATTTAAGTAATTTTATAATATTTTATTTAAATATTTATTTAAATAATTCTTCAATTTAAACTATGTTTATTTTATAAAACCTATAGTTAAAATTGTCAAAAAAAAAAAAATATAAAATGAATATGTCTTATGAAAAGAAGCCCTACTGATTAATATTATTATTTAAACAAAATTTAGATGCTGCCAATGGGAATGCGGCCACAAATCCTCAACAGCAGTCAAATCAACCCACTAATAACAATACCAGCAGCAACAACAAGGACACACTTAACAACAACAATAATAACAATAACAACAACAGCAGCATTAATAAATGCAACAATCAAACTAATACAAATATTAGCAATAATAATGCAAATCAAACAGCAACTAATCCCGACATGATATCGCCCACAATAATGGCAAAATTTCTAGAGGACGAGCTGAAGGCCAATGAGGTGAAACACTGCGATACGTGTCAGTGCAGCAAACAGGATCTGCAGGTCCTGGCGGATGTATCTCGTTCCTATTCGGTGGCCACCCAGACGCCCCATCAATTGCAGCTCCAAGGATCGGGATTGAACGAACCGCTGACCCAACTTTGTCTAAGATGTCATAGCAATCTCAACTCCCCGTCGCGAACTAACAGTCCGTATATGATGAAGATGGTCAAATCCAGTGATTCTGTAATATCGGAGACGAAGAGTTCTGTTTCTGATCTAAACGACATGGACAAGTTGTTTACGCCGGCCAAAAAGGATGACCTGATGGTGAATCCCATATTGGGACATCATAGACTCTGCGAAAGAACCGCGATTTCGGGTCAAAATGGGGAGTATGGCAATGGAAAGCTAACCACCTCTACAATGATGTATCCAACCACTCATCTGGGGGCCTATGCTGCCGAAAAGTACCTCCTGGAGACGAGTAATCTTGGCCAGCTGAGGAATGGCTATCAAAGAAGGTTTTTGGATGGCGGAGGAACTGCACTGCAGCTCTTGAATAAATATGAAGCAAGTGCAGTGGGAGTTGTCCCAGATGAACTGGAGGATGAGTCCAGTAAACCTCTGTTGTCGGGTGTTTCGCAGCCCAGTCTTTTGGAATCGGAACAGGCAAATCCTGCCCAGCAATCCGTGGCTCCTGTTAAACTGGAAGATGTCTGCGAACCGCCGCCTAGTAAGCCAGTTGCTCCAGTGGCTCCTCCAGGAAATCCAGCTGCAGCTGCTCCTTCGGGAACTCAACTGAAGTCTGCGAATTCAGGAAGTGTCCAGAGTCTGTGGAGCAACAAAACCAGTAGCTGCGAGGGGGCCAAAATGTTCGAGACCTTCAACAGGAATCTTATAAAAACGATCAAGGTTGGAAAAATGGGTTTAATTTTGATGTGTAAAGAATATTATAAAAGTATCTAAAAGTATGCAGTGAAAAATAGATAGTTGTGCTTGGCTCTTTTTTGAATACTTTCAAAACCCCATAGTCTAATAGATTATGTTTTTGAAATTACATTTAAAGGTTTTTAAAATTATCATGTAAAAAATTTGGTTTAAAAATATATTGTTGCATACTTTTAGACACTCTTTTAAGTCAGTTCTTTTTCTGTCGGATTAACTTTCAGCAAAATTTTAAGAAAAGATACTAATATATGTACCCTCTTCAGGCGGAGAATCCCAAATACCGAGGACCACGCCTGTGCGCCATGCGAATCCAGCAAAATGGCCAGAGCAACATCCTGCTGGACAACCTGGAGTCCATAGAGACCTACACACCAGTGATCTACAAGCGACGGGAGAAGCTACTGGATGAAGAGCTCAACGATGGCAAGGACATCATCACCAGCAAGGAGAGCAATGCCCAGTCGGCGGTGGAAGCCTGGCAAGGACCTGCTGCCCCCCATGAGAATGTGGCTCTCCAACCCGTTCTAGAACCCCAAGTGGAAATCCCTGAAGTAGAACCAGTCGAGACGAAACCGGGAGAACCAGCTACAAATCCCGGGGTGAATTCGCCCAAACACTCGGCAAACTCGAGTTCTATAAGCGATGTCATTGACTATCAGGAAAGTGTCCTTCTCAGACGCCAGCAGCTCAGCAGAGTGGCCGAATGGGTTCAGCATAATACCCAGCAATTGGAGCAGAGGAATCTCCAGCAGGCTCCGCCAACCAGTGACTCGAATTCGGGTACCGAAAGGCAATCCTCGTACTCCACACTGGATCGCATGGACTCCATATCCATAGAGAAGCTCTCCATGGATTCGGGCTATAAGACCACACCGCAACAACTAACGAATGGTTACCCGGAGAAGTCCACAGAGGATTCGCTATCACCGAAAACGGATATTACTAGCAATTCCCTAACGGAAAATCCAACGGGAACCGAAGTGCCGGTGAAGAAAACGGAAATGTGCACCACTTATTATAGGAGAACCACCAGATCGGGATTACCGGTGGCATATACCACCGTTTCGGGAGCCCCAGCTGATGCGACTACTGCCGGCGGAGAGTCCACTTCCTCCGGTTCCGAGGCTCTCATCTGTCCCGAACAGCCCACGTGTGATATTCTGAACTACAAATACTATCCAAATGATACGGACAAAACGCGATCCGTTCAGGCAGAGCTGCACACGACCACCCAGAATGTGGACATAGCCCAGATGGAGTACAATGTGAAGCAGTTTCTTCTCAAGCAGAACGAATGGTCCATGAATGGAGGAGGATCGGGATCGGGAAATGGAGCAAATCCCGGAGTGATTCTCCAAGGATCTGGAGCAGCAGCTCGAATGCTGCAGCGCAGGATTTTGGGTCCCGGAGTGGGTGAGCGGGTCAGGATGGCCACTCCCGGAGGAGCTGTGGCCACCAAGGCCACCGCCACCGCCACCACCACCACCCAGTCATCCAACATCCTGCCACCCCACAGAACTGAAACGAATTTATAAGCAAACGGGGTCAAGGAATTCGCATCCAACACACATCCAAAGAGGAAACCAAACTGTATTCTAGTCTAGTTTTGCTATACCCTTAGTTCATATTCCACGGTCTATATAAATACGATATAGCAATGCTTAAGTTGGGTGAGGGGTTCTCAAACAAAAAGAAACACATGCTAATAGCAATGATACTATACATATGTACGATAAATGTAATACTTACACCACAATCTACAATCTAAGCTAGCTAAAGTTGCTTTGGAGCTATAACTAAGATGATAATCTGGCTAGTCAGAGGGAGCAAACAAATATCTAGGCCGTTGTTTAAAAAAAAAATATGGTTTAATATTTCGTAATATGTGTGTGAACCCATAATTGGGTCTAAAGTTTCTTATCTATTATAATAGATATAACAAAAAATGTATTTTTGGTTAGGGCTTTCAACAATATTCTTTAATAAAAATATTTTTTCCTTCTAAAAATTGTATAAGCTTCAATTTTTAAAATCTCATTTATTTTTCACTTTTTCCTTCTTCCTTGTCTTCCTTTAAATACAATTTTATTTTCTCTTTTTTCTCAAAGTGTCTTCCTTAAATATTTATTATTCAACTTTCTTATCAACACCAAGCCTGATATCTAAAGCCCCTCAGAAATTGCAGCTAAAACCAAAATCAACTCTAAGACATATGATATGGTTACTCCTTACGATATAGCAGAAAATTATATACAAACTAAAATCGCGTAACTTTTTGATGTCTGCATGTTAATATAACCCACAAGAATTTGAAAAACTTTACCCAAAACAAACCTAGGTTACAATGGAAATATAAAAATTATATTTATAGGAATATACAGATAATTATGCTATAAACGATTGATATTTGATAAGTGCGTTATATTTTCTATATTCCGATTGTGCAATATTTTTTGGTAGTACGAGAAACGAAAACGAATTTTTATTTTTATAAAATGCGACCAAAAACGAAGGGGAGAACTTTCTGATCTTTTGATTTATATTTTTTTCTATTTGAGCATTTTGTCCAGCCGCAAAAGCTTAGCGCTATTTAGCAAACCCGATCAGTCGATAAAGATATATACAAGTATTGTACCTTTTTGCCGGAAAAAAACTGTACTCATTCCTGCCCATTAGATGACCTTTATATAGAGAACTGTAACCCTCTGCTAATCTGCTAAATCAATGATATATTAGCCACGCTATATATACACGTTCATTCAAAATCAGAATCAGAAACAGACACGGACACACTTGCATTATAAACGTATCTGAACAGACATATGATTGTAATACCCACATATATTTACATCTATATATACATAAACATAACAAGAGGAAACGCTATAGTCGATGGCTTCGACTATTAGATACCCGTTACTTAAATTAAGGGAGTGCGAGAGGAGGTATGCTTACAGGAACTCTGCTTATTTCACTAACACACCTAGTCTATAGCGCCACCTACCTTCTTCTTCTAAGGCGCCACCTAGCTTTTAGCGCCAACGAGCCTATAGCGCCTCTAGCGGATTGGTGGCGACTGGTTTGCCGATTGATTTGCATTATATTGATTATAATTTGGTTAAAACTTTTTAATGAATGGTCCGATTTGAAAATTTTTTGCCATGTAGATGGATAATGATAATAAGAACAAAATCTCATTTGAATTTTTAAAAAATACTCCAAAATGTGGCCGCTATGAGTAACGGGTATAAAAATATATATATATTCACCTTATACGTGTATACCCGACCCACAAGAACACAAGAACAACAACATTCAACGGCTTCAGAAGAACCAAACCAATCCAAATACTTTTCTATGTACTCCCCACATCAATCAAAATTATATTGAATGCCTCGATATTTACTCGATATTTACATGTATGGCTGCTATCTATATCTCTATATCTCGATTACTTTACCATGTATACACTGAGCGAAATGCTAAAATGGAAATGCTTTAAGACACTGTTATGTTTGGCCTACTTATATAAACGTTTAATTAGCATAAATTCAACTCGTATCTCTATAGAGAAAGTGAAGCCCCAACTATGATTGCTTACTATAAATCCAGGGATCCAGCTCTATAGACATAGATCCTCTGCCTGTTACGCACATTATCCTATGCGATATACTATATCGAACGAATCAAAAATCTCTTATTAAGTTCATGTACCAATCTCGAAAAAGACTTAACTTGGATAAGTAACTAAATCATTTCCGATAATCACCCACTATATCTTAAATCTCTCTTGCTCCCTCACCTGTAACTCACTGCTCAACGATCCAGTTTTCCAGCATTACACTAATATATATCAAAATCTCACAAAACCAATAGAACACTGCCCCAAAAGTCCCATTCACTGCCCCAAAACCCTTTCTTCCCTCTCAATGCCCAAAAACTAAATTTAAGTAGAACCATTCTCCAGCTCAAGAAAATCACACAAAACTTTACTTAAGGCAGCCTAATTCAAAAGAATCCCGAAAAACCTTAGCTAAAGAATAACTTAAAAACATAAAAGCGAAATGAAAAAAATTGAAATGCAATTTCAGCAAAAAAATTGAAATATATAAAAAAACTAGCTTAAATATTTGGGCATAAGTTCAACTCCAGCTGCGACATCTAGTTTAAATTGGAAGCCTTTGTTCTCTCGCCTAGGTTCGAAACATTTCAGATACTTAGCCTTATATGAATGTGTAAATTTACTGCGCGTCTTGGTTGATGTAACCATTTTTGAGCTATTGAACCACCTTAATGTAAAACAAAAAACGAAAGAAAAACCAAAAAAAAAAGACAACATCAAAATAATAAATCAAGAAAACAAATGGAAATAATTCAAATAAATATGAAATAATTTTTGAATAAATTTTGTAGGTGTGTTTATTTTGGGGGAATTGCAATTTTATTGAACATTTATCAGAATTTTATATTTTCGATATTTTTATTTCAAATTTTTAAACCAATTTCAAACCAAGCCAATGCAAAATAAAAGTTTGTTCTAAGTTCTCTAATTTCTTATGGATATAATATTTTTATTTCCTCCAAAATAAAGTTTTTATAACCACATCATGTTTTTCCCATAGAAAAAGCGATTTTTATTTTATTAGTTATTTGTTTTATTTATGATTTGTATTTTCTCATATTTATTATAGATAAATTCCTGGGCTGAGTATGAAATAAATAATTTGTTGCGGTGCATGCACTTAGAAAACTAAAGAAGCATTTTCCTGTTTCATTCTCAATTTGAATCGAAAAATGTCGACGAAAATGGCGTCAGTCGGTTTTGTTGTGTGGAGTTAACCAAAGGGACCTCTTGACCCTCTAGAGAGCCACTGCATCGGTGGGCTGCGGTTGATTCTGGACAGGATCGACGACCTCAGCGCCCTCGGCGGCATCATCGTTGACCACGATGACCTCGTTGGCTGGAACACGCGCGTCCTCAAAGGAATCATCGATGGTTTCACCACTGGTGCGCACCTCATTCTCAGATTCTGGAACAAATTCGGCCACCTCATCCTGGGCAGGATCGATTTTATCATCGACGGCGGGTTTTTCGGGGGCCTGAGTTACTGCGGCGACAGCTGGGGCATTCTGTGGACGATTGCCGCCCAGGAAATTGATGATACCCTGGAGAGGATTGCCACTCTGCTGGGCAGCTGGAGCAGCCGAGGCCGTGGCATTATTATTGCCACCGAAAACATTGTTCACAAACTGCTGGATGGGACCCGGTGGACGTGGAGTGGTGGACACCGCTGCCGCCTGCTGTTGACCCGTCAGACTGGACAAAGTGTTCTGGAACTGATTTCCCAAATTGCTGGCGAACTGCTGGATACCCTGGAAGGCCTGAGTGGTGGCATTCACGGCAGTTTGGGCCGCATTCTGGACAGCCTGCTGAGCCGAGGTGATGGCCGCCTGGGGATTAAGGAAGCCAGGAACCGTGGGAGCCGGAGTTGCAGGAGCAGCTGCATCATCCGCTTGAACCTGAGCTGGAGCCGCAGCTGGAGGATTGGCAGCTGGCTGGGGCTGGAACTGATTGAGGAACTGACCAATGGGGGAATTCTGGATCAATTGCTGCACAAAGTTGCCCTGGGTGGTGCTCTGGATGGGAGTGGCCTGGGTGGCCTGGCGGACCTGGGGATGAGCTGGATCCTGGATTTCCGACTGGTCCTCTTCCAAAGGATTGGGGGAAGGTTCCTCGGCGGGCACCACAACGACCTCCTCAGCTGGCAGGGCTTTTAAAATATTTTTAGCAGGCTCTTCTATGATTTCTGGAGTCTCCTGTTTGATTTCTGGCAACTGAACTTCTTCCTTGATTTCCTGGGGTTCCTCCTTGATTTCCAGGGATTTCTCCTTGAGCTTCTCATTAATCTGCTGCTTGATCTGTTCTTCAATCTTTTCCTTGAGCTCCTCTTTAATGACTGGCTTCAAATCTTCTTTAATTTCGGACTTAATCTCCTCTTTAATCTCTGGCTTAATCTCCTCCTTAACCTCTGGCTTAACTTCTGGATTAATTTCCTCCTTCAGATCCTTGGCTTTTTCTTCCTGAGCAATAGGTTTAATTTCCTCTGTCTTAATTTCCTCCTGGACCAAAGGCAAAGCCACTGGTTGCTCTTTATCCTCGACAATAGTCACAGGTATATCAATCGCCTCCTTGGGTAAATTCAGTACTCTGCCCTGGCTTAAGGCCAGAAAAACCAGGATCAAGGCAACAGGCTTCATTTTCGCGCTTCAAATATTTTTTTATATATACTTTTTCGATTTCAAGATGCGTTCACTAGCGCCTCACGGCCGCAACTGTTTGAAATTTCTTTAGGCCCAACGCATTTTATACAAAACGCCGGCTGCGCAGTCGCAGTCAACAAGCCAAGTCAACAGGCAAACAAGCCAGCAGGGCTTAAAAAAAAGAGATGGAGAAAAGTGGTGGTATCAACGACCATCGTATTGGCCAATTCTTGTGCTAAATGTCATTGAACTGGACCAACTTGGACTCGAGTTGCACGCAGGAATCGGGAATCGGGATTCAAAAGGGTTTTGGCCAAGAGGTTCCACAAGAAGCTGCACTTGTAATTGGCCAAGTGGTTGGGTTGGGCACGAAAAAAAAGGGCAGAAACCGGGGGACCATCATCAATCATGTTTGCTTTATCGACTATCTGTATTTGGTTTACTTAGCAAAGATTGCAGCATTGTAAAGGCAATCTGTTAGGTTGAAAATGATTTAAGTGAGCTTATCAAAAAAGATAGAGACTAGAGAGAATTAAGAAGTAATTTTAAAATAAAAAAATATTGATATATTTCTGCTTTTATGGGTTCAAAATGTATTTCAAATATATAAATATTTAAACGAAACGATAATATTTTTGCAAAACCTTTTTCCTTTACTTTAGTGTTTTTTTTTAATCAGGGCCTTGAAGATTGTCCATCCTAAACCAATATTTCCTTTTTGAGGACTGCCAGTTTTATCAGGTAAACATTTTGTTAAACTAATCCCTTTTGGAATAATAAGCTGTGGATTTGGTTGAGATATTTTTTTAGGACTTAAGTTTTTTAAGTCTTTAAAATGATAAAATGGTATTAGGTATTATGATATTGTATTCCTAACCAGAAAATTAAAAGATTTCTAAATAGCTTTTGAAAGAAATAGTTTTGAATAAAATGTTTAAATTATAAAACCAGTTGTTTTGTACTTTTGAGACAGAAAATATATTTTCTATTTCCATACTTAAAATTCAAACAATACAAAATACTTCACTTTTAAAATATTCCCTTTTAAAATAAAGTTCCTGGTCCAACTGTGCAGCGATTGGCGATTAGTCTTCACTTGAGTCTGTCCCTGATCATCGACTTGTAAGTACATGTAACTCCCCCTTTTTTCCTGCTACTTTTCCACCTTTTTTCACTCTCATTCCTTGTCGACTCGATGGCAGGCAGCGACATTTGATCAGCAGATTTTTCTCGTTTTCTTGTTTGGTTAAACGCTCCTACAAGAAACCCATTTGGGCCCATTGGTCGTTATGCTAGCTGGATGGTGCATCTTTAAGTCTTTGGTCTTCTTCGGTGGAAACCCGTTCCGTTCCCCAGTCTTCAATTTCAGATTCAGATTCAGACCCAGACTGGACAGAGAAACCTGCTTCGGCTATTTTTAGAGTCAATTAGCTTTGGACCGACTGTCTCGGCAGGGAAGATGCATCTCTTGGATGCATTTTCACCCCGGTTCTGGGTTAATAATTCATTAGAAATGCACAGAAACCGAACCAAAACGCCCACAAAACGGAACGTCGAACAAAAGTCGAAATGTGTTCTATGCAAATGAGTCCATTTAAATGTAGTTAAATGGGTCAAACGATAGTGGATTGGAGAAAACGCCGCTTTGAATAGAAGGAAAATTTATCTCCTGTTCATGTGGGACTTTCATATATATGTATGGTTTTCGATCGATCGATCCATTTGCTGCAGAACTCGTTCTCGGGCCCTTTTGGCTAAAAAGAGCTCTGCAAACAGGCCAAACCTGCAAGGGCTAACACGATATATGCACAACCAAACGATGATAATAAAAAAGAAGTAAGGCAAGAAGCACAGATTCAGCTTGAATACCCTTAAGAAATCGACATAAAAAGCTCATAAAAAATATCAATCGGTTAAATCAATTTAAAAGCGTTAAAGATTTTAATTATTTGCAGTTAAAGGTAATTCTCCAAAAATCTATATGAATCGATAATTTTTATATCCTAGTTTTTAACTATTAAATATTAAAATGGATCATATTATTTTTTTTAATTTTTGTTTAATTTGTTTTTTTATTATATTTTGTATGTATCTTAAAGACAAAATTTCTTATTATATGTGATGAAAATTGAATCTAAATTTTATGAAATTAATCAGTTATTCCTTTTTATCTTACATTTTTTATCTACAAGGGCTTCCGTTTTATTGTAAGCAATTGATAATTTTTATAAATCGTTTTTATAAAACACCTTTTAAATATTTTAGCTGACTATAGACCAAATATTTAATTAGAAAAAACCAAGTAGCAGTACATCTTTTATAAGTAAACTCCAACTGATGACTATTTTATTATGCTCTTTTTGAGAGCATCAAAAGAAATCAAAGATCGAAGTGGATTGCTAAGGACATTGACTTGTGACTCTGGGATCTTGTAAGCGATCTTTTTAAGACTTTTTATGACCCCCGACTTGAGGGTTTTAATTCTGCAGTGCCAAATTGATTTTGAGCACGGGAAGAACACGTTTTTCACCAAACTCATTTGGGTTCTGTCGATTTTTATGGCTTTTCTTGGAGTTGGTTAATTGTTTTTTTTTTCATTTGCGTTTTTGTTGGCCCCCAAATAAAAATTTGCTCGAGTTTCGGTTTCAGCTTTGATATTATGCAATTGTTAGCCGACTCGTTTTTACACAATTGACTGTCGAATTAACACCTCACTCACATCCAGCGACAGGTGGCGATAAGGCGACTTGGGCGTGGCAGCAGCAACAAAAACACATTACTCTAAACGGTGGCAACTTTCACTCAACAATCGTGCGGAATACTAAAAAAATAAAAAAAAATCATAAATAAATACCCATGCAAAGTGGGTGACAACAACAAAAAATCAGGGAGTGAGTGGGAGAAGTCGGGCGATCTTCGTCATCCGAAATTACCTCACTTATCAAACTAAGCCGCTTGTTGTGGCCGTTTCTTATTGTCGTAATATTTGTGTCATATTTTGCTGTCAAGGTCACAGCTTTTGGTCAAATTGTAAAATAATATGGTTTTCGCCCAAGACAATTATGGACAGGTGTGAAAAAATGTCCACCAAGGTCACTAAATTCACGTAAAACTTTATTATTTCTCCATTTTTAATGTATTTTCTTTTTAAAACAACAACAGTTAAATGTAAAAACTATTGCCATAGTTTAAATTAAACAGTTTTTCTTATCTTTGCTTAAATTGTTTTTTGTTATTTTCAATTTTTCTTTAAACTTTATCAGTATTACTCGGATTTGGTCATTTAAATTTGTAAGAAATAATAGTATTTGAATATTTTACATTTATTGAGCTTATATAAATATTATTTAGGTCATTTGATTTTAACTTAAGAACATTTCTGGTCAGAACATTTAAATTTGAGGGTAATACGAAAAACCCTAAAAGAACTGGAAAAATGTATTTATTAACATTTATATTTCTGCAACACAAAGTGAAATTCAATACCAGAATATTGCTTAGTATAATTTAATAAATAATCACATCGTAGGAATTCAATGTATTTAACTGTTTTTAAGAGAAACGATTATGTTAATTTAGTATATAGTATTTTTCAAGAAAGATCTTGAGTAACTAAATATATGCGCGGACTTAAAAGAACTTCAAATTTAAATTTGAAAAAATGTAATCAAAACGAGTTCTGTTATGCGAGTGCTGTTAAGCGCAGTCAGTATTTATTTCAGGCTATATGTCTTGGTATTTTTGCTCCGTCGCCTGATGGTATTTTGGCCAAGACGCAGGCGAACAGTGGTGGTGTATCAGCTAAAAAAAAGCTGCTGGAAAATACATATTTTGAAATGTAAATACAGATCTATAATTTGCCGTTGGAAATATGTTTTAAACCTTTTTAGAGGTCAAAGTTGAGTACAAGTAAAATAAAATAAAACTTAAAATTGTTAAAAATAAAAACCTAATTTCTCGCTATTTTCAAATTTTACCCGCAATCACACCAGAAAAATCCAAATCTGTCGAGTATGACCAAGTTCTAGCGTTCACTTACGTTACACTTACGTTTGCTTACGTCTTGCGTTACGTAACAGAATTCGGTGTGACCGCAGCGCGGCCCACGGAAAATACTGCCAAGAGAGCAAATACGAATTCAGGATAATGGGCCCCATCAAAACTGGCCACATAAAATGTGACCAAATTCGAGCTCGCTCCGCGAGTCGCCGTAAAAAACAATTGCGAAATTACACAAGAAACTAAACAAATAAAAGCGGAAAATTAACGAAAACATGTGCAGCGGCTGTTAGAAGCGTGCGGCGACAATTCGGGCCAGCGGAAACGTGCAGGTGCGAGCGAGAAAACACGCGTACGCGTCACTGGCAACAACAACAAACACTCAGTGCACCAATACTCGCGTACAAACACACACACGCGCACACCAACACATAAACACCGACGCACATGCAACCAAAATAAAATAAAAACAAAAGAACAAGAAGCGAAATAATAACAAAAATAAATTTGATAAATGCAATTATAAATAAAGGCAGCTGCCAGTGTGCTAGAGAAGAAATGTAAAAGCAGAAAAATATTAATTAGAAAGTTTATGGCCCACTAAAAAGTGAACCAAAAGTAACAAGGAAGAAGAGTGCTCCAAAAATATCAATATATAGATTTGATTTATAACTAAAAAATTAGATTTATAACAAAAATAACTATTGAAATAATTAGGACAAGTAACCTGCATATGACTAACCAATAATATAACTAATAAATTTACCAACGAATTCTGCAAATTCAACAGATAAAATATTTCAATTCACCTAAAAATATATTCAAAACAAATTAAATAATAACCTATTAAAATATAATCACAACAAGACTATTTTTTAAAATTTTTGTTTTGCCCTTGATTTAATTTTGTGCATTTCCTGCTTACCCAAACCCCTACCCCACCCAAAGTTGATAAAAAGTTTCGCGTTTTTCCCCCTTATCAGCTGATATACATATTATTCAGACCACCCACTTGCCACCCAACACCACCACCCCTTCTTCACCCCCTTTGCACCTGTAAAAAACAGGTGACTAATGCACTGTTCGCGAAGTTTGTCAGCTGCTGGCGCCGTGGAAGCAACAACAACAACACTAACGTCATCCACATCGGCAACAACAACAGCTTTCTACAAGGCAGCGACGTCGGCGTCGGCAGCGGCCTCAGTCTGCACAACACCAATAACAAAATCAAAAACTAAAACTATGGCCACCACAACAACAACAACAACGACGGCGGCAACAAATGCTAAAGATGGTAAGTAACATGTCCCTAAAAGATATAAGGATCATATAGGCAAGATTTGAAGAGGTGACCCAGAAAAATGGTATACAAAGTTCTCTTTATGGAGCTCCACATTGTAATTGGTGACCCTGATCCTTTCTTGAAGTTTAAACTATAATAACAATGAAAAGGTTAGCAAGGTACACAAATAAATTCTCATAAATGTGATTATCTAAGGAAAATAATTATAATTGGCGAACCCCAGTACTTTCATTAGCTAACCATTTGAAGACCTATAGAAAACCTATTAAGAACTTATCAAAAACCTATTAAAAACCGATATTATTGTTACTAACCACTAAGTAGTTATCAACATTCAATAATGTAGAGATACAGAAGGAACAATATATCATGGACTAATAGTAATTAGCCACTTTATAAAACACCGGAATTGAAAAAAGGTCTTAAGTAATTAATCATCAACCATTGCCTACAATGGGTTCCATTTTAGGTAATTAACCAAAATATGACAAGAAAACCCCTGAAAAAAATAACCTCAAACAGTGACCTACAAAAAAACCGAGACACAAATGGTAGGGTGCCAATATGCAAAGACAAGGCGGTTAAAGTTCAAGGCAAGCGAACATTTTAAATTGCCGGTTTCCAGTTCAATTCAAGTTAGTTGGTCAACTAAAAGTTTAGTACAACCTTTAAATGCAAAACAGACAGCAATCAAAAGGCAATAAAATTCAAATTACCTCTTAAAAAGAAGTAATTATAATAGAATTAGAACTTCATAGAATCTGTAAGTAATAATCACGTTAGGAAGAAAATTAAAATAAAATTCAAATTACAAATAGTTATAAAAAATTATTTAGAAAATTGAATTGAGATGAAGAAAGTAAATTTGATCAAATAATTAAAAAATGCTCGGTTGTATAAGGAGGATTATTTTAAGAAGAAATACACTTAATAAGCAATTTAAACCGTAAACTTAAGACTTTTAATAAAATTTTCCTTCCGGTTTCAGCAGCAATTACTGAGATATAAGAATTTCTAAAACTAAAATTCCATAATTCTCTTGTTTATCTTTACTTTGCCAAAGACTTCCACATTTGTGTGCCTGGTACACAACAGCTGTAATCCTAATCCCTCAAAGCTTAATCTTTTGTTTTGAACAAGTATTCTGGGATACGGGCAAAACAAAAAAAAAGCACACAAAAATACCCACCAACGCAACTGACGTAACTTAACTTGTTGAGCAACGATTGCTGGCGGATTGGTTTCTGGCCTTTTGGAGAAAGAAAAGTTTTATTAATATCAATAACCATAAGAGCGAGGCGAGGGCAGCAAATAAGGCAAGAAATTAATGAATGCCCCTGCTGCTGCTGGGGGGAATAATTTCCAACAAAAAGCAAAGCATAAAAGCAGCCAAAGCAAAAGCAAAAGCAAAACAAACCATAACCAGCTTAACAACGATAATTAAGAAGTGCCGGCTAGGCCAGAAAAAAAAGTGTAAAAAATTACATACAAAATTTAATTGCCAAGGCAAGGAAAATGGTAACACGGGGACAGAAAAAAAGGGGGCGGGGCTAGGCCGAAGGTCAGCTAGAGGCCTGAAGGTCATAAGCATTTTCGACGTTGTCGACGTCGTCACCTCTGAACCCGCTCGAATTTATTGATTTTACACGCAGCAGCCGCAGAATGAGAGGAATAATCACAAAAAACAACAGCAAACAGCAGCATCATGCATATTTCTCTTGGCCCGATGTTTTACCTTACTACTTACAGTAGTCATCCATAATAAACAACTTGAGGATTATTTATTTATACCAATAATAAGATATTACTTTGCTCAAAAAGGGAAAATGTTACCTAGTAGGTACTTTTATGGAGAACAGAATTTTATTCAAATTTTTAGGAAAACTCGATCAACCTTATAAAGTTTTTTATGTAGTATCTATGTAGAAATTCCTGCTTATAACAAATCTAATATTTAGTGATTTTTTAATTTAAAAATTTATAAAAACAAAACAAGCAAATCATATACAGTGTCTTTAATTTAATACATTCTTATGGTCTTTCACAAAAAAATATTAATAGGTTCCCATTTGGAAATTTTTTTTTATATTTTTTTGGTTATTTTTTGGTATTTAAGATCTTTTACATAATAATGCGGTACAGAAATTGAACTTTAAACTCACATAAGCATTTTTTACTGTCGTTGCCTGATATGCAATTATTTGTGGTGCCCAAAGTTCCATTTACCGAGCATCCACTGTACCTTTTATTCATATTTGTATGCGGCAAACACTTACACACAAAGCCAAACATATAGAGAGCGACTTGTGCGGCTTTTGCTGGGCACTCGAGTAGTTCAGTGTAGTATGTGGCTTATGCCAAAGGCCAAATGGAAAACCTGCTTTAAAGCCAGTAAAAGAAACACACGAAAAAGCATCAGCCACAGCAACCTACAGAGCTTTAATCCCCGCCATGGTCACAGTTTGATGCTAAAATCGTGTGTTGTTTTTGGAGTTTTGATAAACTGAAGCAGGCAAACAAAAATCTACTAATTAAATCAAAGCTAACGGTTGTCAGCTAGCGGTTGTCTTCGATAGAACTTGCCCAAAAGTCAGGTTTATTGTTCTTTGTTTCTTTTTTTTTTGCTGCGATAACATTTCCGAAATGCCAATTTTGCTGGCTGCCATTTTTATCCCAACATTCTCATTTCGGAGTAATTTTCTGTGTTGTTTCTTATCGACTAAAACAAAGAGGAATGTTTGATAAGCCAAATGACACAGCGGGAAACGTGATTCATTTGAGTGGTCTACACATATAATAGACAATGCGAGTGGACTTTGAGTTATTCACTTAAATTAATCAATATATGGGGTAAATATTTATATTATATGCAGGCCAAGTACTTCTCAGAACAAAGAAAATCATTTAAAAATGCTGTTTAGTGTTTAAATAACAGTGGGTTTCGTTTAAATATTGAATATTCAAAATGGGATCCGGGAATAAGTAAATAAAGTAATAAGCAAAGTAATGTTTACCAAACTTCATAAAGTAATGGAAATACATATTACTAAGCAATTGATACACCTTTCTTTCTTTTTTCTCTAAAAATTACATTTAAACCTTTATATTCACCTTTCAAAGTGAAGAAAAACTCCTTTATCAGCCCACTTTTCTCCCTTATCTCATTACTATTTACATAACATTTTGTTGTTTGTCTATGCTGTGTATTCATTTGACTTTTATTTCTTTTATCAGTTGTGATTTTGCTGCTTATCGCAGCAAATGCAACTTTACCCATGGCAAATAAAATAAACAAACAGCATGGAAAAAGTGAGTGTTTTTTGTAGATATTTTTTTTTTTAGCTGGATACCCGTTGCCATTTTCAATTAGTGCCCTGAGCCTGAGGGTCAACACGAAATGCTTTATAATTTTATTTCAGCATCAGGTAACCGAGAACCCAAATCGCTGATAACGCTTTTTTCAAATATTTAATGATCATAAAGCAGCAAAACCACACACGCGCGCTCTCTATTGCCCTTTTTATTTGTCATTGGCTCGCCGGATAAATGCGAAACAAATTTTTGCAATTAGTGGATCGCTAATAAAACATAGTGGGCTATGGAAAAAAAAAGGAGGAAAAATAAATACAAACTCAAACGACAGCAGTCTGCATATTGACATATCGGTTGCATTCAAACTGAATTCCCACAGCTGCCGATGTTCCCCTTTTGTGTGTCTTGTTTGCTCGTTTCACGTGCTTTTGGGCGGGCTTCATTTGCTGAATGCATTTCCACCGGCTGGCCGGGCGTCATTTTTCAATTGCCCACCGCTTTTCCCCCGCTTTTCCTCCGATTTTCCCAGCGCTTTCCCAGCCACGCCTGGAGTGGCAGTTTGTCATGAGCACAGAGGCCAGGTGTCGGTCTGCTCATCGCGTTTCCTGTTCGCCCCACAACACTCTTGAAATAAATAGCCCTGAACTTGCAAAAATAGTTTACAAAATAATAGTTACCCATTAAAAAATTCTGGGTTATCATAGCTCTTCATATTGTATTTAAAAAAAAAACCTGGTTCCTGAAATTAAAATGCTTAGGGGAAGTCTCCTGTAAGTTAAAATATCTTATATATTATTATTATTATTTACAAAATTATTATTATCCATGTAAAGTTCGTAAAAAAGACATAAGATATTTCATAATGTATTTAAAAAAATAAACTAAATTGTTTAAGGTTCCATAACAATGTTTGAGGTACTTTTTGAAACTAAAAAATTCTTGTTTTGGTTCCAAAAGTATTATTACTAAAAAACCAATATAGTTTTTAAATTCCTTTAAATGTGTAGAGAAATTGTAAATTATTATTTTCTAAAATTCTGGTTTCAATTAATTTTTCCAGTGCAGCAATATAACCCATCTCAGCTAAAGCCCAACTCAGCCCAGCTCAGTTTTTGCCCCGGCTCTTGGGGATTGCAATTTGATTTGTGGGCGAGTCAGTCGCGGTGTGAAGACTTTGGCTAAATTGCTGTGAGACTTTTCGCCAGACTTATGAATGAGTTTATTGTGCATTCTAACAACTTAACTGGGCCTTCAGAGGCTGCAAACTGCACAGCCTGCTGCCTGGTTATATTTCACATTTAATTGTAACGACTTGGAGGTGTCAAGAAGTTAACTCAAGAAAGAGCACAGGAATGTTTTAAAAGTGCATTGTTGCAGTTATGGTTTAGATTACTCGGGTATTTTTAAGGCATTATATAATGGGAAAATGACAAAGGTTTCAGGAAGTTATTATAGATATAGATAGATACAAAGAATGATTATGTTTAGTATTTTTTGTAGAGTTTTTAATGTGTGGTAACTACCAAGCTACCAAAATAGCAAACCATTAACCCTGTTTAAGCCCTTCCACGACCTTTAGTACTTTACTTCCTGGCCAAATGAGTCACCTGAGTTAATTTCCATAAATATCTCAACTTTGGGTATTTAGTTTCCTTATTTGCACTGGCATTCGCAGCTCA